TGAGGTGGCATACGTCGAAAATAGTTGAAATATTATTGCCTGTACGAGAACGATCGATTAGTGCTCTGAGTGCCCCGGACAGCTTTAATATCTACGCAATTATATAAGATGGATGGTAATCTCCGAATAGCAGTACTATATGGTGCCCAACACTACGGAACCGTAACACTTAGGGTACGGTTTTGATGCGGTAGGAAGCCACGATCGCGTTCATTATGGTTTGTTGGCAACTCATGGTGTCTTGACGTAATTCTATAACTGATAAAAGCTTATTTTTGTTTCTAGTTTTGAAGCCTCTTTTGAAACACTTGAAAACTGTGTTTACGGTCCGGAAAAGTTTTCCTGTCCTCTTCAAAGACCTGCCCGTATAATTTACGTAGTGACCTTGCTCTGTGAATTGTGTACGTTACTGGATTTTAAGAGAATTTTGTCTGGGAAACAGAATTAGTCGGAGACGAAAAACTCTAACATTACAATCCTCTTGCGGTTTTTTTTCTTTCGACAAACCCCAAAGGCAACTGCTCGTTTGCATTACCTAAATAAGCTATTTACCAATGTTTATTTTCGTAAAATAGCTAGGGGTACGTTCGCATAGAATAGGTCGGCCAAGATGTGACTGCAATCAGCGGAAAGCGTACCACCAATCTTGACTTCGGAACGTCGAAATAAGTAGCCATTACATTGAAGACACATTATAACTCGCCTTTTATTCCTTGAATAAGCGGAATATAAAGAACAATATAAAAATAATGATTGCAAATTGTAGTTAAAACAAAAGCATTACTTAGGCAGCCCTATGAGTCCTGTCAAATTAATCCAAATAAAACTTTCTTAGCCAACATCCCTCCTAAGTCATTTATATGACTTAGAGAAGTTCTTTTCTATGACAGGAGCTGCAGTGCTTCACCCGGGCCTGGCTCGATAAATGACAGCAAGCTGGGTTCAAATAGGATCAGCAACGATGATGCAACAATTTCGCGCGCATCATTGACTAGAGGAATCGAAACGAATAGATGTCGGCCGAGGTACTTACGTTTAACATTGGAGAGCCCTCTTCTATAATACTTGTTACTATTTTGGGTGAAGATTCTTTTAAGCTTTACTGAGCAGAACAGGCGGTGAGCGTTTTACAAGATATACGTAAACTTATCGTACGCCAATAGCGAAGTGTATGTACACGACGCCAGTTGTGTAAACATCACAGGGTGTTGTTATGGGCCTGTTAATTGCTCTGAAGACAGTATCATACGTTTCTTGATGACATCTGAGTGATTTTTTATTAGTAGTAAAGGTACTACGAGAGATGATAAATATGAAGCAAATGAATATATGTAAGTTTTATAGCATATGAGGCAGTAAATAATATATTTAGATTAATCTGAAAATATTAGCTCGCATGTAATATGTCCCAATGTGGGACATAAAGTTGCCGATAGGTTGTAGGCCCTGCAAGCTGAAAGGACTTTTACTATGTTCATGAATGAACTGCGCACTGCAAAATCCAATCAGGCACAGATTGACTGTAGTTAATAAAATCATGCTGTTAGGCTATCGGTAAACACAAAAAATAAATACGGTTAAGTTTATGCCCACTTGTGAATACAGTTTCTGTCATGATTCTAAAATTTTTCTGTAGAATGCCGTAGCAAGCAACATTTTAGCCATGTCTTCAAAATAAGCTTCTGAACGCGCGTAGCTTAAGTGCGCTTGTACCCAGTAAAGTGGGTATGAACCCAGAAAATATTGCAGAAGAAACTCGTCTCCAATTTGACGCTCGGTTTGCTGTAATGCAATGCTGTCTCGAAATGATCTCTTCGAATGTTTTTTTTTCTACGACGCACGACCAAACTCCAAATTTTTATAATACATAATCTATCTGCAATTTATTGACTTATTTGTCGTTTTACGCCTCGAAGCTTTCTACAACAGCCATACGACAATGAAGTTATGGTCTGCAGTACAAATGGGATGAATATTAGTTTATGTGTGTAAATATATAGGCGGACAGGAAAAGTAACGATGCTCAGTCTGATCACGACGTAACCATTTACCGTGGACGGTGCCGTTTTTAAGGGTTCAATAACAACTTATGCTATAGAGTCACTGTACTACTGAGATTTTTAGTGTCGTTGCGTAATTGGCAGGATAGCACTTCTGTCTTTTTTGAAAAATTGTCCATATCAACTATAGATGTCTCTGGTGTACCTAGACGCGATTTCTTCCGTGTGATATAAAACCTTTCAGTAATCGGCGTTTTTTTTTTCATTTATTGAAAAGAAGGAAAATCTGTTAGATAAAAGTGACCAACGCGCGTAGTAGATCTTCATCGCAGTCAATTCATCGAGACTCCCCCATCGAAAAATATACCATCGGAAGCATGAAGTCTGATCGTTATATCCCATCAACTCGACAAATGAAGTGGTTCAAAAACTCTGACTGCAATAAGAGGTTCAATTAGTGTAAGTATGTCTTCTGAAGCCAAGATTATATTCAATTACGGGATACCCAGTCCTGTTGCTCCGGGCTAACAATAAATCATAATGTCGAAGTACTGCACAAAGTAATTTGTTTATTAGCCAATTTTCATGTCATGACGATGATTTTTTCGTGCCGTACGGCAGAATGTGTTACGAGATCTAGATTACTAGATGTCCCGGTCAACGTCCCCTACATTTACCGAGAATATGTGCTCGCATTTTTGATGTAAATCCGTAAATTTGTGTGACAAACCTAAGGTAACAGTACAGAAAGATATAAGGTTAAACGTGAACAACGTGCATTTTAGCCCAACAGAGCCTATGGGAACGGAAGTGGGATGTGTCCTAGCAACTCAAACAACTTGAAGTTGTTTAAAACTGTATTAGGTCGCAACCTCTGTTTTAATATCACGAATGTGCCTACTCATTTATATAGGAAAATGTCTGACTCATCGAATAGGTGTATGTCAGCCGATTGTTACACGGGTAAACAGAGTAACTCGAAATTTCGAGTAAAAGGAACCTTAAGGATATCAGACTTATTTGAGATTATCAAAAGAGATCTCTAAATCCAGCACGCGCTCACCCTTTGTGTAGGTGTCTCTATGACGAATGCGTCCAAGCGAGACTTTATATGTAAGGGAAGTCAAAGTCAAAGAATTGAAACATCCGCTTAAGGATAACTTCAACTTTACTGCTAATAATAAAGTAGTAAAAATATATCCGATAGTTTGGATTCTATGTTAACATTTAACGGAACAGTGGTTTGCGAACCATGTCTATATCTCAAAAGGACCAATCCGTCTAAAGTATTCGATATTTAATTTAGCTTAGTGTGTTCTAATCGGTCCCATTTCCAGGCCAGAAACAATCTATTATGGAATACTTTTGTTACCTAATAATAATGCTAATACTTTTTTTTTAAGTTGAAATAATCAAACGGATACACAAAATGATCCAAAAATCAGATAATAAATTAGTACATGACTATGCAATTTGAACTGTTTAGTTTTCCATTGAACCCATAACCCATTATTATTTCATCAGTAATTGGGGCGTCGAACAATAGCGGCCAATTTTTCTTCAAGCGTTCGTTACATATATTCTTTTTGGGGTCGTACCTCAGATAGACATCGTGGATGCCAAGAAAATCCATGGTGAAATTAGGTGGCTCCTCGTTGGCAAAATAATGGTTGGCTTAATAATGAACTAGAATCTAAAGGTTTATTAAATATTTATCGCTAAAAGGCATTTTAACTTTCTAACTAGCAACATGTAGAAAGGTAATTAAAAGACAAATTCTCCAACTTCACATTCTGTGGTACCTTAAAGAGCGAAAGCAAATCTAATAACCCTATTTGTCAAAACCAACTTAAGACGAGACTCTATCTGGTGTTTTTCATTATCTATCAAATATAATATAATAATATATATAATATAATATCAAATAATAACAAATATAATATAATATAATATCGACAAATAGTGTCGACAAAATTCGCAGTAGAAAAAGTCAAAAATCTGTCTATACGATACAATACGACGTGTATTTCACACTGTTTGTCTAGATACTTACTTCGCAATAATGCGCAATTTTCACGGGTGTAACTGGCAGAAGAACCCTGAGACGCAACGTAGATATACGCATGTGTAGTTAAAAAGCAAAAAATGCTAACTTCCAGCGGCTTTTACAGAAATACTTGCTTGCGTATATGATCTATTACTTTACAAGGTCCGCTCATCGTGCTACGTAACGGAACAACGCCGCTATTTTCTTTCACATAAATATTCCTCTCTCTCTCTCTCTCTCTCTCTCTCTCTCTCTCTCTCTCTCTCTCTCTCTCTCTCTATCTATATACAGTTCTATCGACTTCCTTAGACCTGAATGCTTCCACAGCAGTCCATGTTTCGTCTCTGCTACACAATAGTACCAGTGCCATGTCGACATCCAGCCAAGACTGATCGCTCGCTGGATTTCCGGGCCCATCGTGTTGCTATCCCGCAATAAAGAGATAGCCTTCTCTAATAGAATCCGTCATACCTACGCAATTAAATGTGCGAATTAATCTAAATATATTTTAAACTGGTGACTGCCAGTGATAAATGTGGTCGACCTTGTGTAAATAACCGTCTCTATGTTTTTGTCGCATGGAGTAGAAAACTTATTTAACTTAGCTCTACAGTTTAAGTACGAGGATGCCAAACGACAACTTACGTTGCAGTTGTTGCAACTGCTGGCCAATGAATCAGACCCCTGGTAGTATTCGTTGACAATGAACAGCAAAACTAGACTTCCGTCAGTAATAATCAAGCCACGCTATTTTCGGCCATAACGTCTTGAAACAACACCGAGCCAGTCGATTCGATGCTCTGGATATGGTTTGCCATCCAGCATTCGTTGGCTCGCGCTTTTAAACCACATGATTTAATGCCTCAGTAGACGTTAGTGCTTCGATTTTGGTACTTCGTGCTAAATGTATCAGAGTGCTCTCTCCTTCGTATCGACTTAGTAGTCGACCGAAGCCAAGCGGGAAATGCTCTTTAGGGAAAATAACGAGCTACTTTATGTTCACGGCGTTCTCGACGGCCCATCGGGTATCAATAGATGATCCTGTGTTAACACAGACGCAGTGGCCTAGGGCAGTTTTTATGATTCGTAGATAAAATACTGGTTGAAATGATACCATATTCTGTTTGTGTAAAACTATGCGGCTACATAACCGTTCAATGCATTTTTCCTGTTCTATTTCATACGTTCTTTCCGATCGGTAGGTGTAGTGGCCCGCTTATGTACGAAACCAGGCAAAGATGGTAACGGCGTTCGCACGTCGAAAGGCAGCTGTAAAACCTATCGTGGATTTAATATACGCAATTGCAAATTCGGAGCCTGCAGTCAAAGTGGGTGTAAATAAATGACCACAATTGAAGGAGCTCCGTCTTGTGATACTCGCCCTTGCCAGCTGTTCTACACAAGTATTCTCTTAGATACTCTGAAAAACGAAATTTTAAAAAAGTTACAGTACTTTGCGAGGAATCGTTAAAAACATAAATATAAAGCCACAAAGCTTACTGGAACCTATCAATGGATGCGCCTTCACTTTGCTGCCCAGAAGTGTACATTTTTGGAATTAAGTTAATTTGCAAGTTCAGTTTGGCTGACGGATTATCCTAATATTCTGCATATGTTTGGTCCGTAGAACTCTTTCAGAAAACCTGCAACCGAGGCATAACTCATATTACGTTTATCCCAGAACACGGAACTCAAAATCCCGTTGTAGACTTTTTACACGAAATGCCCTTCGTTGGAATAGCGTGTGTCGGAGGCAATTTGACTTTAAGGGAGTTGCTATCATAGGGCTAAACCGACAGGATGGGGAGTACGCTATCGACTTTCTAATTATCAATAGACAGAACAGTTTAGTGCCATCGATTTGCGGGTATAATCCAAAATAGATGTTGGTCAGAGCATTTACCTAACCGCAGGTAAAAGAAATTTGGCGGAATTAAGTCCTTCAGGTTTGAGACCTCCTACAGTTCACTTATAGAAAATAAGCTTCACGCTGGTAGCACGTGTTTCGTATGCAAGAATACTACTTCGATATTCTCGACACGATGAAGTCGTTTTAAGTGACCAATGAGCGAATTCAGGAAAGATGTATTTTCATTGCAACTCATAAAATAGAAATAGTGTGATTGCTTCATTAGCAAACAGGCGGATTGACTGTAAAAACAAGCCAAAAACATTGTGAACTTGGTCACATGCGTCGAAAAAAGACGGATTACGCATGTCTTCAGATATTGAAGCGCAGCCTCAATCAGACCTGCAGTGGTTACTTAGGATTAATAGATTTCTTGAATCTGTTTCAGTGATGGTGGTAACACGCTGCTATAGGCTGTATATTAGCCCGTAGCACCAACTCACCGTGTACAGGCTGTGATGTATTTTGCTTCCATAGTCGATTCTAGCTTTAGGATAATGCAGTTTTTACATATAGACAAAATCTTAAGAAGTAAAATAAACCAAAGGACAGACCATTTGTCTACTAGATCTTATACAGTTGCGTGAATAGCCTAGCATTGTTATACGATGACTGCCTAGGTTTATACTTAATATGAAAAATTTACTATAAATATATGTAGACCCATTCTTCCCACTTATATTCGGTCTAATAGCTTACAATTAAAAGTTCAATAAACAAATACAACAGTTGTGTATATGTTTAAGTGACAAAAAAACGACGCCTGATAGATCAATAGTAAACTCAGCCGGAGCCCGCGCCTACCTCATATGAAGTCAAATATCTGACTCATTTGCGACATAATTATTGTTCAAGGATTTCCGTCGAGCTTTTTTTTGAAGGTAAGACGTTCTGATGTATTATTCCGCGGTCTTAGGATCCGCATTACTGCCTATGCCGAGTACTCGCCTACCAAAGCAATGTAGCTAAATGTTAAGAAGAACGGAACATCTAGGCTAATCAGTAACTACTAAGCAGAGATGTAAAATCCGTGTCAGTTAAATCCGTTGCTGCCCACGACCTTTGGCCCACTTATGCTGTCTACAGTATTTCAAAACCACGTAAGATCATATCCGAACAGGAGTAGCAAATATAAATTTAATTATATATCAGGATGATTTGTAAAAATTAAAAAAACTCGCTTTGCTAATGTTACCATGCTATGAGTGCAAACGCTAGGAGAGAGCGTCTACAAAACGAACTCGTGGTTTTTGTGCTTTCAAAGCAATCTCAATGTGGTTATAGATTCTAATGGGTTCGTCGTCCGGAACAGCCTACAGTCGGCCTAACTGTCAACTTCACGGCCATAGTTAATTTGAACCCTTGAGGAAAGCAAACACTCCCATGCAGGATAACCTGGTACACAATGGTGCTTATTTCATAATATCTAGCTTTATATTTCTACAATGTAAATCTACATACGAAGTACAGCATGTTTCGTCAAAGTTAGCAATGAGCATTGCCGATACAAACCGTTCTCACAGTTTCAGTACCTTTCTATTTGATATGCAATCCCTTGTGTACCCTTCAGTATATACATTGATTGTCTACGAACGTGCTTAAACGTGTCAGTTTAGCGAAATACCGTCATATTACAGAAAACTAACATCAACCAAAGTAACTTGAGTTCTCTCACTCACCAGAAGTGGATAATCAAAAATGTTACCTTGATTTCGATAACGTACGCTTTTGCGGAAGCAATTTTCACTAATGTACATACCGGGTACGAGTTATTAATATTATCGTGCGCTAATTTGTCTTGAGCATTATATAGTCTTCATAATCAATAACCATCGCTCTGCTTAAGTTGTAAGTTCTGAAAAAAATTAACCAATTTATCCGGTCCGAAGTAAATCCGATAAGCCGAATTGATGTGCTTACATAACGAAATGAAAAGAATAGTGGTGCTAACGTAAGACTTTGGCTCAAAAAAACAGATATGTTATAGCAGGGGCAAGTAGAATATGAAGTATTACATAAAATTGAATTTTATACGAGCGACACGAACAAAGAGCATTACTGACATTGTCAAAAGCTATTCTGCTTCGCCTTCCGCTAAAAACGATTTCGAATTAAGGTAAAACTCAATGCAATAAGCACTTCGAACTTAATTTTACAGCAGCGGGCAAAAGCTAAGTGATTTATGCGAACACTCTTCTGATAACTTTTCATTACAGATAATTAGACACGGTGTAAGTAATCTGAAAAACATTCAAATCCTGACCGCAACTTCGAAATATACAGCTGACACTGTACTATAATAGCTTCTTTTCTTCGCAGGAACCCAACGAAGATCAATTGTAAGTGCAAACGTTTGTTTACTAATGCAACCCACGAAGAAGCTAAGTACCACAACCGAAGACAAAAAAAAAACGGCAAAAATATGTTTTTGAATAATACCATTCAAATGCTACTATCGTGGATTTGAACTAAAGGATAGATTTAGGCATTGTCAGGTGTATTTATTAATAATTTGAGAATTTAAGCGGTACCAGGTTGCAGCTTCTGAATAAATTACATTTGAACTTGAACTAAAAGCTGAACCAGTATCTAGTTCAGGACGACCTGCCAGGTATATTCGAGAAGTTACTACGTCGGACGTTTAACTTCAATCGCTGTCAAATCGCAATCTCCGCTTGTCCATGTAGCCTAGTTAGGTGGAAATTCAAAAAGTTTTCACTATATCAACTACTACGTTCTTCAGTATCACCGCCCTAATCAAGGAATATGATACAGAAAAGTTGAGTACATTTCTTAAAAGCCCTGGTAGTGTGTACAACACGTGTCAAAATGCAACACTTTTGGAAATCATACATTTTCGGTCCAGTCGTAGTTACTCAAAACGTTAGCCCATCTAGAAATCAGTTTCATATTATATTAAAAACATTGAAAAGAAGTAGGAAAACGCGCCTCCGAGGCTATGAACCGTACCGCAGTAGTTCTATGGCGTAATAACAGAATCGGCGGACCAGAACGAGTGATGTCTCCTTTAGCAGTTATTCACAACCGTTCACTTTTACGTAATACGTTTTACACGCTATACTTAGTTAAACAGTCTAGTGACATATCTTTAAACTAACAGCAGGTAGCGCTCGAAGAAAAGCAGTGCGCCATTAGGCCTCACGTTATTCCGTATTCTGTATCGTAAAAGAAATGAATGAAGTCTTTCATTTGCATTAGTACAGTTGAAAAGATAACTCATTTTAATATACAATTAAACTTATCGGGCGTATTTTACTAATAACCTCACAGAAAGTATTAATTAGTCGAGTTTAAGCTCAGAGCTGGAATCAACGAGCTATTATTAGTCGGAACGTGATATTCGATTGAGCATCTGAAGGGAAGTTCTGCTGATAGCTCAGATCCATGATTGGGCTTAAGCTTCAGAGTACCCAGACGCCCTGACAAACATGCATACATTAACCACTGAATTATATTATACGACAAAGATAATATCATATGCTCGAAAGTCCGCTGCCGATACATCGCTGAAACCGAATTTCATTGTCCCCTTTCATCAGTCAGATAAATATTTTTCTCTAGGAAATCATCTGGCTAACAGCCTGAGAAAACTGATCGATGCGTACACGTCTTTTTAGTGTATTTTTCGTCATTCATCTTAACAGGCACACCTTAACACTCGTCCAGGCATAATATTTTTGGTTCAGCAATTCATCCAATTTAAGCAGCGTCTTCGTAACAGACTCACATAGCTTCGCCGGAATAACCGTATACGATTTTCCACTAAATATTATAAGGAAATGTTTTACAACCCGTACTATTGTTAGGCTCAGGTTTGCCCCCAACATTGAACGAAATGTTCTTGCCTTCGCCTTTAAACCTAGACGACCTTACGCGTCCTTAGATTAAGTAGGCAATCACTGCATCGCCCCTGCATCATCAATGAAGCCCTTTAAATACCACATCGCCCATAATGACAGATTGTCATTGTGCCTCGTACACCTGTCCAAAGGTGAGGGTGTTCTGAACTGCTGTGAATAATGCTACTAATATTAGGTTGGCTAATGTGGAGCCTTCAGATTTTCCGAAGCCACAATCCGCACCAGACCTTCCACAATCTCTAAAACCACTGTCACTATTGAGGGAATTACCGTACGACGGATATCTGCGGGCGAAAATATTGTCAAACAGTAGAATCAATATTGCCGCGGTCATTGCCACGTTCGATGTGCGCCAGTACGGCTGGGACACAAGCTAGAGCCGAAAAAGTCAGCATGAACCATAAAAAATAGATATCTTAGAATAAGCAGTAGCACAGCTAAAATCTATTAGACATGGTGCTTTCTGTAAGTTTTAAAAGCTACATCTACAACTACAAGTAAATATTGAGCAAGTTATGTTTTTTTTTTAATATTCTGTATTCTCGCATTGGTGAAAGCAAAGGTTGATAATTGGGTTTCTTCTTTTGGAAAGAAGCTTCGAGATTCTGGGGCTTAAATCAATTACAATGAACAACATGATCAAACTTTATATGAAAATGAAAATCTATCGATTTTTGAAAAGCTTAATTTCGTTGGGAAATATTAATAAAAAGTTTAGTTAGCACAATTTTGAAGTTATACTGGGTATTATTTCGAAAGAAGGAAACGCGAGAGCGTAACAAAAGCCAATAAATCAAAAATGATTTATATTCTTTTTTATTTGGCCTGATTAAGTGATTCTAATTAGCGAGCACTGCAATACCACTAGATCACTTAGCATAGAGCGCACAATCGCTTTAACAAAAGGATTTTCCGCTAATACATACATACGAATTATCTTTGTAAACATTAGGTATTTAAGAGGGTAATTTGGCAAGGTCTTTTTTCTGCATAATCCAACTTGAGACCAATTCTAAACTAGGCAGCGATGTCCCCGGCCTTTCTTGCAATGCAAACCCCAGGGGCGTCTTCACACAGCTTATCGCATTGTGCCATTCCTAAAATCATACGAGGTTGTACCGGCATTGTTTAACCGTTTGCTCATATTCACTCGCATCGTTTTGTATTAGCACCACTCACTCTCGTATGCATTGTCAAGGAGGAAAGGCTGGGTGACGTTTTTTTTTTGTTTTCGAAGTATCTCACCCACTGGTGGCTAAAACAGGATCGAAACATCAATCGACACCAGCCAGTACAATAAAAATAAGGTGTCATCACTTCTATTTCGTCGTTTAGCCTTGCAGTATCCAGCTTTGTCAACGCTTTAACCGTGGTAGACTCATCCTGGTATGCCTCTTAGCATGCCAACGGTGTATTTAAAGCAGAAAGGGAAATATTTACAGAAGCATTGGTCATTATCGTAAACATAGAACTATCGCTGTAGCCATACATATATATATAAGCCGTCACCGAGTTAGCGTTAGTGGGTTTTGCTAATAGCGAAATTTTGTGTATAGAGCAACCGGTGTTTTACTAGCTACTAATTGCGTTGAACAAATCGTATCAGTATGTCGACGAGCAAAAAATGGTCGATATTGCTTATTGGACTCTTTGGACTTTTAGGCGAATACTCACCAGCGGATGCTCTCGGCTGTGAGTGCGTTCTGCGCCCGTAAAGCGTACACCTTTTGCTTAGGTCTCGTGCGCCTTTTCGGTGCCGGAGTTAGATAGAGTACGAAGCGCAACCCATATATATTCGATGACACAAACAGCGCATGGATAGTCTATAGTATAAACGCTTCTTGCATTGTTAGATGTCTATTTCTAGATAACTCAAATGACCCTGAATACGTATGCATTTTAACCCAGATACATTGGATTAAGGCTTATTAGCAGGACTGATAGGAATGTCCAACTCTTGTTTACTCGGTTCAAGCGCTTTTTTCACTGATGGAAAAACCTATTTTTAGAGAAATGTTGCTATAATTTGTTCTGCTAGAGCCAGCGTCCTCCTGCTCATATCTTCGATTCATTCCTTAAGTTTGTAAAATATCGTGCATTTACAACTTGATATTTTTCGTCTTTTCATTCTTGTTTCAGATTTTATATCTCGGCAGTACATGGAGCCGTGTGAAAATGGCTATGGTGTCTGCATGAGTTCTATCGAGTGTAGAATTCAAAAGGGTCGTACACTCGGAGCATGCGCCCTGGGTACATGCTGCAGAAGTAAGTCTCGATGAAGGAATAATTGAAAATTGTCCTGCGTATACGGTTTCTTTTCACAGTAGCACTGATATATTTGTAACTTGTTTATAACCGCTGCCAAACATATCCCCCCATGCGGGTCGGTGATATTCTAGTTGAGAAGACGTGTAACGACGTCATCACGACAAACAACACATTCTTCGTAAACCCTAGCGAGATAAGGCCCGGCTCATCGTGTGTTGTCGATGTTGAGAAGAAGTGGGCTTTGGAAAGCGTTTGCCAAATGAGACTCGATCTGCTGAAGTTCGAAATGGGACCCGCCAACGCGCTCTCTGGAATCTGTCTTCATGATGCATTCACTGTTGTTGGGGTTGACCGACCAGTACCAACAATTTGCGGGAGAAACGATCGCCAACACTGTCAGTATAATGTATACTTAGTAATTTTTTCATAATTTGTTTAATATCGATCTTGCGTACCAAATAATAACGAATGACATTAATGGCCATACGTGCAATACAAGTGTTGGAATAATAAAACTGCTTCCTTTGACCTAGCTCAGAGTTTCTTTTCCCATGGACCCGCTTTACAGTATATGTGGATGTTCGGAATTCTCGAAGTATTCAATTAATGGTTAATCTGGGCGCTAATTCGACAACCCGCCGATGGAAGATCCGAGTCACTCAGATCCCTTGCACCTCCCAACGCCTTGCACCAACAGGCTGTTTGCAGTACTTCGAAGACTCGACAGGATACTTAAAAAGCTTTGGTTATGACCCCGTAGCGGAGAGTTCGACGTACCCTCTAGGCTTGTCGTAAGTTGTACATGCGAAAAAACATGGGTCCTTTCTCATAATGTCAAATGGAGTTCACTATATCAGACAACCCTACATTTTCCAGGTATTTTATGTGTTTCCGAGAGCCGTGCCAACTGCAATTATCTCAAGTCGGTCCCTTTGAGTTGGGCGAGAAGGCTGATCAGAATCCTGCTAATAGTATCCAGGATGTCCAGGTAGGGAAAAATCCAAACGCTGATACAGAAAACGAGTCGATTTCTTTTTTATTCACAAATATCGATTAAAATCTACAATTTTCAAGTCACTTATATTTCTGATCTGTTAAGAAAAATCACAGTTATTTTACATTTATATTGTTTGTTGCGAAATTAGGTAGGCATACTAAAGTGAATCTATTAAAACGTGATTAAAAAGGTCTCGAAATAGTTTACAGCAGCTCCTCCGACAGTCGAAAGTAATATGTAACGATATTTGTTTATTACTTTATTCTACTCTTTAATATGCCCATTTTCTGTCTGGCAGCTACACGATACCTTTCGCCAAAGTGATTTGACGCAGCTGTTACATATAATTCAGAGCAGACGCATTTGTAAGCCAAGTTAAATGTAGAACATACAGAAATGCGAGGTGGCAAGCTCGACGAACATTTAAAGAAATAAATTTATCAACTTTTACCTCTGGATACTCTAAAATAAGACGACTGACAACCGGCACGAACCACGCGCCTCTTATTCAAGATCCAAACTAAAGATGACATGAGCTTTGAAATAAAGTCCAGTGTCTCTTAAAAAGAGATAACGGATAAGAATAGATACAATATGTTTCAATCAGAAATTTCTGTTGCAAATTAAATAGTGCCGTTTCCTGTTGCAGCTAGTAGATGGCTGGCTAATTCCTATATATATTGGGTAAAAGGTGGGAAACTTGGCAGTTGTTTTTCAGAGCTTCAATTAGAATAATCTGTTACGAGATAAAACTGTTGCTTTGCGATCGAAGTATCCTTGTGAGTCATATAATTTTTTCACACATTCAGCCGATCGACCCAAAATGTGCTAGATGCCCCCACCCCCGGAGCAAAACTTGTCAGATTTGACAGTAATGCAAAATGTTCAACGGAAATAAGTAGGAGTACCTTTTTCTTTTTAACAAACCTAGTATTTTTTATTTGGTCTAATCCAATTTGCCCAACAATTCTCAGTACGTTATATAAGCATTCAAGCTGCTTGCGCCATCCGTTTATGCTAAACTCATTTAAAACGCTAAACTCAAAGATATTTAATAGGATTTTTTCAGGACAAGCAAATTTTGTTATACATGTTCGATTTGAGCATCTTGAACCTTAATTTTCATCATTCTAATTTTCCATATAGAACATATGCATTTGGCGGGTTCAGATTTCCAATTTCTGTAGGTAACTGAAAACCGGTTTTTTGTGTTATTTTACGTATCTGCTATACGCTACTTAGAAAAGTCTGTCAAAAATGGTTACACTTCCAGGTAGACGCAGGATGCACCGTTCCAACCGATCCAAACGTCGAAGCGCGGGCTTATATACAAATTGACAATGTGCGCTTTTGTGGAAAAAGATTCATTCGTACTTTTAAGACGCGTTAGTTGGCATGCTACCTTTTAAAATATCGTTAAATTCTTGGATCTCATTTTTTTTTTTTATTAATATTCAATCGATATCGCCGTTCATTTTGTATATTAGATATATGTATGTATATATATATATACATATATATATATGTTGTTTAATATGTGTATTACATATATGCCCTAAAGCATGTGCTCTCATTAGCTGCACGAGAACCAACATATCGATCTTGAAGGGCTGTATGTTGCATTAACGATTTGTTTTTTTAGAAAACCCAATATTGGCTATCAACTTCGTTTCACCTATGCGCGAACGAGACCGTAAGGAAAATCAGGTTTTCAAAGGTTTCAACATTCAATACCAACAAACCTGTTCCACAGGCAAGTAAGTAACTTACTTAAACGAAGAAATTCACAAATGACTGAAGACATATATATATAGTGACAGGGTGTACCCTGTCAAGCCTTTGGGGGGCAAAGTGAAATACAGCCTTTCGTTCTAAGACGCATTTCTTCCTTCAAACTTTTTTTTTATCTAAGTTATCGTAATAGAGGATTTAAAAGCTAAGCATTACAGCCAAAATTCATTGGCTTACAAACGTTTATTTAACATTAAGTTTTACACATTTTTACAGTTAACGGTTCATTTTCTGCTGATTCAGTTGCCGAACTTGGACCAACGTTTACGCTCACGATACCTATACCCGAGCCGCAATAATAAATAAAAGTATTAGGAATCAATGTGTGTTGTAGCAAAATCCCATTACCATTCGATTAGATAATTTTTGTGCTAACTTGAGGCATTAATGCTTGTTAATGGATCACTTGTTTTATTTATGACTGACTTCAATAAAATCTCTTTGCATTATAATGGTAAATCAGACTTCGTCATAATTTCCGTAACGAAACAGATAGTATCGCTTAGCTTATACTGCCAAGCATTAGTTTCCCTTGAATTTATAGGAAATGTTATTTTCTACGTCAGATTCTAAATAACTATTGTTTACTAGCTGCAAGTTATTCGACCGGTAATCTCTCAAGAATATGTGTAGCCAGATTCTGTTCGCGGTAAGCACATCAAACCCTCAATACCATGACTACACAACGGGAAAAGTTGTCAATGCAATCCTTTACAGTTTTACATACTTTTAGCCGACGAAGCATTTGAGTCACAGAATAACTAGTATCGATTTGCTGACTCCCCGCATGACCTTCCCAGGCAACTCTAGTTGTAGGTATACGTCACCCTTTAGGCTTAATCGGTGGAAGAGGTACACTAATAGTTTGATAATTCAATTTTCTTTACCAACGATGCCATTTTTCACAGATTAACCAGCCGCAAATGTGTGCATGCCTAGAGTGGTTACTGTTTAGCAATTATCACTCACCCTTCCTTCAATAGCTGGCCCATTTCTCCATGTTCGAATCCGCAGCATTTCCGATTCTACGGCAAGGTAATGTCACTGTCCTCGAATGGCACTCTCCCAAACGACCCTTTCCATAGAGCAAGGCCCTCTCTCAGCAGTTCCACGTGCTCGGAGGCCGCGCCGGTGTCAGGCGCGCGGGCCCCCAGGACCACCAGATCAACACGATACCAGCGGCCTAGAACCCCGCTCTTCAAAATTGGGACAGCGGAGCTTTAGCGCGCAATAGCAGTTATTACCGTTTAGTACTAATTAAATCTCAGATATATGATTTGTGCTCACTTGAGAGAAATGATATTTTCTGAGCAGGGCTACCAAAATCACTATCATTGTTCCATTGTTAAGCGGTTCATATACATGCCAAAAGTTTCTTTGGATTTCGATTTATTTACCGATTGAGTTGCGGTGCCACAAAGTGGGTTTATAGCTTCATTAGCAAGTGATTAACTCGGTGTAATTCTACGATGAATCAATGTGCAAACAGGGATCCAAGCTGTGGTGTAGACGGATGAGTTACAAGGAATAATAATGATTGGGTTTTCTACGAGGTCCACTTGTGCTTGCCGTATATTTAAATATAGTCTACAAATAGTAAAGCTAAATGCTTCGAAGGTGCTTTAAAGTTCTTCATTGTGTGAATATCTCGAAAATAATTGTGCTCTATTTGGTTCGTGCTTGCGAGTGAGTATCCGTTGATGCAAGCAAAACAGATACGCCTGTGATGTGTACTAAAACGGCATTTTTTAATCGAATAGGCGAAGTAGAACTATTGACGACACAAGTTTCCTCATCTTGATCTGAACAGCGTCACTTGTTCCAAGGTACGGACAACGATACCAGTACAACTGATCTCGCCAGGGACGCCATTGAATAATAGGAAATTGTCAAGTGAGAACATCATTTCGTGAGTTGAGCAATTCGGCTAAATGAAACTCCTTACTTTAACTTGTTATGCAGAAAGGGAGCCATTCTCGCTGTGACTTACTCTCGAATCTTTGTCACTGAAACATTTGTCTAGTTTCCGCGAAACGAACGCCGACGTTTGTTCCGGAAAGCTTCAAAAACACTTCCTACGCCTTCATCCTTTTCAATTCGTTGTCGTTGTTCTGAAGCTCGCTAGCGAATTCTTGACGAGGCATTACTGCAGCTTCACACGTGGCCACTGCTAATATTAGGGAGATTCAATATGATTCATTCAACCTCTGTTTCTAGTATCTTCTACTACTAGTAGAACAAAACTGAAGAAGTGTAAGTTAAAAAACATGTGGCCATTAATAAAAAACAAAGCAAGCTTGCAATTTACTTTAAGTATCTGAGAAGTGCCCCGTCTAACTCAGACTGTCTAATAAACACCGATATTACATTCCATAGCTGAAAACCGCGGAAGTATCCAACTAGTTTTCAACTTCAGACATAATTAATATTGATATCCTCAACGATCAATGTGTAGTGCGGCATGAGGCGACATATTATGGTGGATGTTATGCCGCTTTTAAGATATTCCAGGCAAACTTATTATCTTGAGTTCATAAATAGCTAGACGGATGCTACATAGATAATTCAACTTTTTCTAATACAGGAATTCAAATAGCCCCTCAACTTCATAAAGTCGTGATGTTTTTATATTAAATGTTTAGTATATATTCGGCAGTCCGGCTTCAGTGTGTCAAGTATACAGTGTGTCTGACGATTCTATTCTAGAAGACAAGGCCAACAGAGAAGACACGTCTATTATCGGCTAAGAAATGATCAGATTAATTGAGTCTTTCTTTTCGTTTATGATTAACACGTCAAATATGCCTATTTGAAATGATAAGTTCAAGGAGCCTGCAAAGTTACCTCAAGCCTCAAACCCACTGGGCCTATACGATGCATTCTTATCACTTTAATGGGATATAGTATGAATACGCTAAACTATCTGTTTGAAGCCTCGTGGAATGGCGTGAACGGCATTATGTTTTTTGTCACGATAATTCCGGCAGAATATCAAGCTTCATAGCGGGATATATGATCGAAAGTGTGTACAGGGACCATATCCCCCTCCGTTATTGTAAACCGTTTCGCTAGCTCTCTTGACAACATATGCGGGCATCGTGAAGAAATGCTACCTTGGAAGAGTAATAACCAGATTAATCTCGTGTTGCATATTTTTTTTTTAGTGAAACTTGTAACGAACTTCCCCAGAACCTGTACTCGTATTTTCCTATATTTCATAAGAATATTTGAGCATAATGATCTTCGTAAGACATAGTATACAGTGATTTTTTTTCATTGCGGAGCTAGAAATGCAAAGGAAACAAACAACCACCCTCATAAGACCTGTGTTCCTATCCGACTCGCCCGTATCTGACGTCGATCGGCGTACCGTACAAAATATCTTCTGCCAGCTCTAATAAAGCCACTATGTACAGTGATGTCCGATGTTACTCATTATAAGAAGGTTTTTAATTATTGCCAAAAAAAACTTCATTAGAACATTACACAATATTTCGACGTTTTGTTATGTGATGCTATTGGCCGACAATTGCAGCCGGTAGACGTGAGCAGAAAATCCATCATATTCTTGGCAGTCATTTCATTAGAAAATGTCCTACTTTACATATGTTTTTAAGTAATTGCGATTCGGTTTTCAACAACACTCAGCAGTTGTTCTACTTACAGCTGGACTCGTATCCGGTGAACATAAAGCGTTGCTTTTATGCACTACTTTGGAGTAACGGTGCTTGACTGGTGGGCCTATTTCCCCGGCTTAGTTACAACCTCTACACATATCGTTAATCCTTGGGTCTATCCGAGCTATTCGAATCGCCAATGGTCGCACAACCCTCAACGTACAAAGGAGTCTTATCAGGCGCATGTCTCAAATAGAAACTGCTTCTTATGCTTAAGAAATGTTCCTATAAGAGATAGATAGTCCATGGTGCCTGTAACGACATCCGCAATCTTTATAGAGCTCAATAGGGCGTGCGTTAGGTATCCATTTGGTTACGGGATTGAATAATGCACTGGGGTACAAGTTTTATTCTGTCTTGGAAGTGGACACGAACCTCTAGTGCTATCTATTCTCTTCCCTGAGTCGTCGATGAAACAAGCTACGAATATTCAGATACGAGCACCCTGTCACCCACGTTGGTGAGACCAATTCTGTTTGTTTTCATCGAGTAGAAAGCAATGACACAGATACGAGACTATAGCCGGCATTGCAGATAGCTTGCTCTTAGGCAGATAGCAAGCCAGTTGCTTGCCAGAGGATTTCAAATATGCCGCGAGCAATGCCCTCCCCCTTTTCATATTACTTTATCGGGTATCTCAGCGCTATGCACAGAGATATATCCATAAGCTTTCCTTGGCTTCTTAAGGGCGTCGGAAACGGTCGTTGTTTAACCATCTTCTGGTTGAACGCTACTGGGTCAATATTATTCTTTATTGTCGCACATCTTGTGGAGTCGAACGATAACCTGCAGTCAATATTTGTGAGTAATTGGCTCGGCGATGTCTCCTGCGACATGATCCATGGTAAGCTATAAGCTTACCCATCATTCTTCCGTAGACGGACATCATTTTAGATTCTCAAGCTTACAATACAGTCAGTGAAATATTACATTAATTCTTTTCTGTTCATTGATAAAATGAATTAGAATTTCAAGAAAAAATGAGGTGACGATTCAATTTTCGAAGAAACCCTAAAAAAAATATCACCTTAGTTCTAAAGGAATAACGACAATTGTTTCGAGGCAAAGATATCATCTACGAGGAATCTGAAGGGGAGTTTACTATTGCAATATAAAGTAGCACACTTATTTAATGCCGATGAGGTATGAATGGAAAATTTGGAAATTTCAAAATAGATATTCGCCAATTACAAACGTCAATAATGCATTTGTGTCGCAAATAGAAGTTTTATTTATGTTTACGGATTTCCCGGTTTTGTTAAGTGTTAGTCGGCATGGCAATGGACCAGCTACAGTATCATGAATCATAATGATGCTGAGGTCGCACAAGCGTATCAACTTCATTCGAAGCTTTCTGCAAGGAAACGAAGAGCAATAAAACTTTTTATATAGAAGTTTCCGCCTTTTGAGGAGTAAATGATTCTGTACGACGCGCAGAGGGATAATCACGAATCCGTCCAAGTTATTTCGACAAAAAAGATATTTAGTAGGTAAAAATGCACAACAGAAATTCCGTTTTAGAAGCTAACTACGACCGTTACCTCTAATATTTTTTCGTAGCCAGTTACAAAGAAATCATTGGAAACTGCTGAAGAATTTAAAAAATCACCACCGCAACATCGCCTTGCACATATCCTAAGGATAAAAGGAGTCCTAATTGCAAAAAACGCCCAAGATTCTTTATACACCGTATGTACCTGCAATTTGGTGACAGTTTTTCGAGAATTGTATATCGCTAAAAGGCTTTACACTTT